ATATATATATATGTATATGTAGAGAGAGAGAGAGAAAGAGGGTGGTCGCCCTGTGCCTGCGTGGGTTTTCTCCGGGTACTCCGGTTACCTCCCACATTCCAAAAAAATCCATGGCAGGCTGATTAAAACTCTAAATTGTCCCTAGGTATGGGTGTGAGATGGTTGTTCGTCTCTGTGTGCCCTACGATTGGCTGGCAACCAGTTCAGGGTGTCTCCCAGAGACAGCTGGGATAGGCTCCAGCAAGCCCTGCAACCCTTATGAGGATAAAGCGGATCAGAAAATGGATGGATGGTTGGTTATATAGGGTGTCCCGGTGGGCCACTGGTGTCGGCCTCACAGTGCAGGGGTGTAGGGTTCCATTCCGGCTCCGGCCTTCCTGTGTGGAGTTTTCATGTTCTATACCATTATTTGCAAAATATGTTTTTGATATGAAGCAGAGAAATGCAATTGAAGTGCAAAATTAAAATGCATGTACCTCACAGAGCCAGTCATCTCAAGGCCTATGATGTCTTTTAAGCCACAGCTGCAGCTCATATTTGTGTTTGAATTTTTCTTTTTTTTTCAAACGAGTCTGAGATTTGAGTTGAGCGAGAGAGTTTGGACGTTAACCACACGGCTCAAATGATGTCATGCCAATTATGTGTTTTATAAGAAGGCTGGAGATTAGAGGTAAAGTGTCGGTGAAGGGATAAAAGAAAACCAAAAAAAAAGCCTACATCCCTTGTATATGTGCCGTCCAAATATGCTTCTCTTATTTTATTTGATTTCTTTTTACTTGCCAGAACCTTTGTTCGCTTCAACCGCCAAAAGGTTTGTGATTCAGCTGAAAGAAAACTCCACAGGGCTCTTTTCTTTTTCATTTTATAGGAACACATGCCCCCCCACCAAAAAAAGCCTTTCTGAATTTTGATCCATTTCAGTGCAGCCTTGAGAAATATATGAAAATTAGGTTTTTAAAACCAGTTTCAAGGGGCTGGGTACAGAGACCTTGCTCGGGTGGGCTCCATTAACCCAGAGTGTCAAGAAAAGGGTGACGACCGACCAAGACAATAAAAGCATTTTAACCTGTGGTGGCAGGACTTAATACATTGCATAGTGTTTATGTGGTGCATGGACA